ACATATAATTATGAATTCAAGAGAAAAAATAAATTTGTTTCCCTATAGAATTTGAATATCGTCAACACTACTAGATGCAGGAAGAGGAGGAGAAGAATGGTTAGTTTTTAATTTTATGCAAAACTAAAACAAAAAAATAAAAAAAAATGAAGAAGATTAGGTACCTCTCATGAATTAAAATTAATTCTTGTCCATTTTCAATATTAAAGTATGTACACATGCTTATATCAATGCTTATATGAGGAGAACCTCACTTCATGTGTAAATATTTTTTGTTTTGTAGCATGACATGAAAATAATGAATTTTTTTTAAGAATGACCATATTTATGAATGCTCCTAGAACATTTATTTACATAAATTTCACGAAATTTTTTATTTTTAGAAATGATAATAGAATATTCAAAATCAAAATGCTATAGAGAAAATGTTGCTGCTGTTAATATAGCTTTTAAAAATTCAGAAATTTTTGCAAATGAATTTAATTTTAATATGGGAATTAAAGCAAATCTGAATAAAATATTTAAACTATGAATTTAAAGTGCGTAATATGGGTAATTATCTGAGTCTACTCACTGTTGTCTTCTTCGAATTAAAACAAGAAATGCGGTTTATCAGGATCAAAGATCATTCATCATACCAAACATACAAACAATATTAAATATATTAATGTTATGTTCCTAATGCAAAAAGCCGATTAAATAAAACGATAAACTGGTATACTTTTAGACTATTTAAAACCTTTCCTCTATATCTATATTTTACAATTAACTGCATTAGCATAATTAAATCTTACCTATTTTTCTATAATATATGATCAAAGATTAAAAAAATTAATTTACATTAATATACTTTTAACAAAATGTTAACAATTGACCATAATTATTAACCCCTTTCTTCCATTTCCAATTATTAAACTTAAACCAAAAAAAAAAAAAAAATTTAAAATTAAAATCTTTGACCTATATTCCTCAAATTATAACTAGCATGCATATTCAATTAAAATTCCGGTTTTAAATTTCTGATTTTTAACCTACAGATTACATTTTGTTGACACACGAATAATGTTTTAAAATCGCGTGTACTTCTGAATGGGTATAAGAAATTCAAAAAAAAAAAATTACATATAATTTTAAAATTTATTTTTTTTTTTTTCAATTTCATTTACAATAAATTTCAATTAACTATATATTAGAAAATTGAACAACTGACCATCACAAATTTGACCCTCTTTTTTACATTTTAACAATTTTTTATATTAACCTTTACTAAATAAGGGTTAAAAGGTAAAAAAAATTCATTGAAATCACATAAATATTATGCAAACAAATGAACAATATTTAGAAAAGAAACCCCTTCATTTTAATGCTGATTATAAAACTGATTGACCGTTTAAGTGTTTTACCTCGTAAAATGTCAAATAAAAATCAAAACGGTAAAAACGAAACAATGTAAATTTTTTTCGTTTTTGCTCTTCGCTTTGGTTTTTTTTTGTATTTTGAATGTCCACTCTCCTCTGATTTTTATATTTAAATTTCAAGTTTTCAAATTAAAAATAATTATTAGGTGCGTCCTTAAAAAAAAAAAAAAAAGCACAAGAATAACACGAGACAAGTTACCGGCTTTACATTTTTACCTATTTTTTTTTTTGTTGAAATCTACATATAACATAAAAGTCAAACGATGTCCAGAGGGATTTCAATATACTTTTTGATATAAAATTCTCTTTGACCACTCTCTTTGTATGTGTGTATGTGTGTATGTGAATTTTCATAACTTAAATATTATTATAACATTTAAGTATAATATAACCGGTATATGATATAAACTCTCCATTGAAAAAAAAACATGAAAAGGAACCGAAATGTAAATATGGAAAGAGCACGCTTTTGAGTTAAAGATCACACAAAATTTCAAAAAAAAAAAACAAATCTGACTTCCTTTTATGCTACTTCTATTTCTTTTATAAAATTATTGTACCTTTACATATACAAGTACACTATAATAGCACTAAAAACATGCCATCATCATTAAACATGCTATTTAATAATGATAATGATGATAACAGCTTTGATGATAACAATATAATGATGATGACGATGATTGAATGTTGATTATAAAATTGTTTATAAAACTTTGGACATTGTCCACTTTTTTTTTTTTTGTTTTCTTTTCAATTCTATTCATTTATTTTCTTGCCTTACTCCTCTCTCTCTCTCTCTTTTTTCTCTACTTTGCTTTTACTATCGCTTCTCTTACTTTGAAGTTGTTTTATCTTTATTTTTTTTTTGCTAGTTTTGAAATTATTAAAGGCATGAATTAAAAATTCACTTTGTGAATCCTTTGAAGCATAAAAGATAAAAAAGAAACCGACACGGCACGAGTCTAACACAAAAAAAAACATGAAAATGAAACAATAATGAGTTTATGTGTACAGTACACAAAAAGAGAAAAAAAAGAGGAAATACTCGTATATATATATATATATATATATATATATAAATAAAAAGGATAAATAAGAAGAATAACAGAGAATGCATATAGGTATATAAGTAGTAAAAAGCTTTTGAACTTGTAGGAGATTTTTTAATAATATGGAAGAGAAGAGCAAAGAGATATAATATGATATGAGATAACATTAAGGAATAAAAAAGAGAAGGAGAGCATCTCCTTCATCTACATATTATTATATATAGAAAGCTCTCGGTATTTTTTGTAACATAAAAATGTCCTTGGAAATATTCTCATATTTTTCAAAAAAAAAAAAAAATGTAGTTAAAATATATATTAAAATTACAAAGAAACAAAAACAAAAAAGTGTTATCAAAGGGAGTCTCTTTTTGAGAATAAAATTTATAAAAAAAAAAAACAAAAAAAAAATTTTATTTGAAATTTGACCTGTCGTTGATTTTTTGATTTTTAAATTGGAATATGGCATCATAAATAAACTATTCGTATAAAAATATTTTTGTAATTAATAAAAATCGGAGAGGAGAAAGAAGAAGAGGGCAAGAGAGGAAACTAGAGAGAGAAAATTAATTTTTTGTGAAGCAATTGATCGCTTTTGATTGATCGATAAGTGAGGTTCCTATTCTAGATTTTGTACATCAATTTGTGTCTAAGGATTCGATCAAAATTGATAGTTGTTTAATGAAAAAATAGAACGCGGTTCTGTTTGTCTTGACCATGTTTAATGGTACTTTCATATGGTATACGTTTCATATCCTCTTTCCGAAATAAATTGTTTCTCTTTCTCTCGCTTTCAATTCTATAATTAATTCATTTTCTAAACTCTAAGTAATATATCATTTCCACGCAAAAAAGATGCCGGAACAAAGGCTATAAAAAAGAGTCCAGAAAATATTTAGAAATTACTTTAGAAGAAACTATAAAAATTTCGTGTCATATTTTTAAATTTTTATGTGAGAAATTAATATTTATTTAAATCCACCGATTTCTACCGAAAATTTCACCAAAAAGAGAGAAAACTTTTAATACAATAAATGTAATTAAAACAAAAATTCACGTGAAAATTAAGTGAAATCAATAACTGTCTCATATATGGAATAAATTATTCAAAATTATTATCAAACCCAATAGTAGAATGTACACGTATAACACTAATTTTGCCTCATGTTATGCTAAAGATTTCTGTATTAGTCCAAATTTTTCTATTAAATTACACTAGCACAGTTTATCATATTAAAAATTTTAATTTTAAATATTTCAAAAATTTCATTATTGCAAAAGAGAGGGGACATTCAACATTCAAAAAAACAAAAAAAGTTCATCAAACTTCAAAAGAATTCTTAAAAATTATTCAGAAAAACAATGACATTTTTTTTGCTTCTCTTTCATATATTACATAATATACTTGTCCTGTTAAAGGCGATTAAAGGGGCCATAGGTAAAATTAAAAATTTTTTAATACAAAATTCAAACCATCAACTGAAATAATTACGTGAATGAAACATAAACGTTATACAATGCTCATGAATTATACCGTTGTACGTATGTATGTGTATACAATTTTTAAGTATATTAAATTTCAATTTTATTGTCAAGGATATGCGGTAAATGATGATTTTCTCTCTTAAAAAATATTTGCATATAAAGAAGAGAAAAGCGTAAACAAATAAAAAATGCATCATATTTGCAATGATGAAATTTACGTTAAAAATTTTACAAAAATAATAAAAAAATAAAATTAAAAACATCAAAAACATTTTTTTGTCCGAGTTTACCGCACAGGACTTACAAAATCGGGGTACAAACTACTTGCATACTAGCTACATACAAAAAAACTATAACCTTAACTTAAGTACAAAATAAATTTTTTACATACATACACACATACAGTCATCTACTGGCATGTAAGCACATTTAGTTGCTTTTTTCTTGTGCTGTTTTTTTGCCTGTAAACTTTTTTCTGCAAGCAAATCCTTTATTTTTTTGAAATATTTTTTGAATGCGAATTAAAATTGTAAGGTTCAATGCTTTTTTTTACGGTTGTATGCAAAATTTTAGTGAAAAATAAATATTGTTTTTTTTTTGGGTTTTTTTTTTTTTAGCCAAAAGAGCAAAAAAACAAAAGGGCAGGAATGTTTTTGTCACAACACTAACAGGAATACATAATAATTAGTAAAAAATATCATATTATTATTCTCATTCTCATACTGTGAAGCGTTCGCAGATGTCCGAAGCAATTTAACAGTAAAATATGATATAACGAAATTAAATAATAATTATTTAATAATATTATAAAAATTTGCTGACATGACAGTAAAGCATAATAATTATTAAGAAATTAGAATGCAGTTCTCGGTTTTTTTTTATTGAGTTCATCTTAGTTCATAATGCAAAAGAACTCATTTGAACTGAATTTTTCATTGAGTTTTCATTAAGGTACCGCAAAATTTAATTAAAATTATAGTAATAATGAAATGGTAGTAATAATTTATAAAAAAAAATTAAATAATTATTATAATAATTAAAAACTTACCACTATGCATTGTATTTGATTCAGCATCAACAACTTCAATTTTTGGTCTTTTTAATAATGGTTCATCTATTATATCATTATTATCTTTATGTTTATTATTACTAATATTATTATTATTATTATTACTATCATTATTATGATAATTATTATTACAACTATTATTATCATTATTATTATTATTATTGGACGTTAAATTTTGTATACTTTCATGTTCATTATCAGCAAGATCAATACATTCTTGTTTAATTTTTCTATTATTAAGATTTTTATCATAATTATTATTATTACTATTATCATCATTATTATTATTATCATTACCATTGTTATTATTATTATTATTATCATTATTACTGTTATGATTATCAATTTTACTATTTGGTTTAGATTTATTTATATTATTATTATTATTTTCACTATTTAATTTACTATCATCACTTTTATTATTTAAATTATTATTATTATGATTTTTATTTGATATTAAAGAATCATTATTTTGTCTTGTTATTATACTTTGATCATTAATATCTAAATTATCATTACGATCAATATTTATTTGTGTATTACTACAATCATTATCATTATTATCAGAATGTGGTGATTGTGGTGGTGAATTTGGTGTTACAGTATCATTTTGTGATAATTTCGTTAATGATAATGTATTTTTATTTGATTTAGATTTTCTAGATTCGGTTGATGTTATTGATATTTGATCATTTGTTGTTGTATCCTTTTGTGTTGTTGTATTATCATTTTCTATATATATATATAGATGCAAATATATTAATTAGTAAATTTAATTAATTATATATATATATATATATATATATATTTTTATTAAAACTTACCATCAACTAAACGTTTTGGTGTACTTGATGCCCCATCTGCTAATAATTCAACTGGACTAGGTGGTGGTGTATGTACACGGGATCCAGATGATTTACGACCAGTTATTGGTGCTGATATTGATGGTCTTCTATTAACTAAACTAAGAGGACGGCCATCATCACCATCCCTATCATTTGTTGGAGCTTTAAAGAAATAATAAAAAAATTTGAAAATAATATTGGATTTTCAAATATTTTTCAAATGATTTTCAGACTGAATGTGTATGTATAATTGTAAAAATTACCTTGTGAATAACATTGTCCATAATTTTCTTTATTACATTGTAATACTTTATGTTGTATAAATCTAACAATATCCGATAATGCGAATGCTTTTTGACAGGAACCACATGTTAATATATCCTGTGATGCAGCGTCCGGTTCAGCTGTATCGGAGTCCGCTATTAAAATAGAAAATTTAAAATAATAAATAAAATATTATTATTTTAATTAAGAAATAAATAATATTATAAATTTTTAGTAACTCCATATGAGTGCGAAAACATGTAACTACATTACTCACTTAATACCAAATATTTGCTTACTAAAAGTAGTAAGTAATCAAATTTTGTAAAAATTTTTTTGGAATAATTTAAGAATTTTCTGTTTACTCTTAAAATTCAACTTAATTCCAATAGAAATAGTTTAAATTTTGAGTTTATACTATCAGAGAATTTATGTTAGAATATAATTCAACAGAATTCTCAAGAACATATAATGTAAGTGTAGGGATATACACCCATGTGTATATAATTATATATTGTGTATTAGAAAGTACACCTTACTATTTCGAACTCTCCTATATAGTATAGTTTTAGGAGTTTGTTTTGTTTTCTTATACCCCATCCATCCAATTCTGTCTAAATACCGAATAGGACATTACAAATGTGTAAACATGAAATAAATCAATATATATCAATAGTATATACCAAAATTACATAGGTACAAAATATTATATGGAAAATGTCTTAAAGTTTTTTTCGTATTTTTAATGGTTTTACTCCTGAGACTCCTTTATTATTATTATCCTTAAGAAAAGAGAAAAGTTTTTTGTTTTCTAATTTTTTTTCTTCTTGTTTTGTTTGTATTTTATTTTTCATTTACTTTTTCTTTTACTTGTAATGTACATATATACATGTGTACATTGATAAAAATTCTCATATTAAATAGATTGGAAAAAATGGTATTTTTTTTGTTGTTGTCTTTTTTTGTATTTTTTTACAAAATACCGTTTTTTTTTCTTTTTCTTCTTAAAAACAACAAATTAAATGTTGTTTATATGGTCCAGGTTATTTTCTTTTTACTATCCACCATTATTTTTACTTTTACGTACATTTATAGCAATATTTATGTATACCTATAGTAATATGGAGTGATGGTGAGCATTCAATTTAAAATATATACCTAAATATATATATATATATATATATATATGTATATATATATGTACACTTAAATATACAAGTATATATACAATATAAAAAATAAAATCAATGAATGATTGGTTTGTTGGTTCCAAAGTTCTATTGAAAATAGAAAACTTTTCTATTAACCTAAGTATATACATACGTATAACAGTTATACATTTAATATATTTGTATAAAAACTATACAACTTTAGAAAGAAATTAATTCAATAGTTTTCATGTTATATATATAACATATTATACCTATATATTGTATAACAAAATAGGAATAGTTTGAAAAAAAATTAATGTCCTATTGCTTTACTTGTATTTGTAAGAGATAATAAAAATTCAATACAATTTATATCGTATATATCACATATATATAATATGTATATATAGATAATAACAATTTTAGCATATAAATTGAAATAAATTTTGTGAATTGTATTCAAAACAAAAAGAAATATTAAAAAACAGGGTGTTTTTTTTTTATTTAAGTATAATAGAGCAGTCCGTTCAAAAATAAAAATTTTTTCAACATATATTAGTAACTACATACATAGTTACAAATGTATGTTAAAGTTATCGGAATTGCAGATATTGTTGATATTAGTAAATTTTATAACAGAACCAGTACCATTTCATGAATTAATTACACTTATAGTATATATATCAGACGATTTTTATGTTTATATCATACGGTTGTTATATATATATCAGACGTTATATATATGAATGTATATTTTTGAAAATCGTATGGACTATTTACGATTACGATCTTGTAATTGTACAATATTTATTTATGTATATAATAAATATGAATATAAAATTAATACTCGATTGACGATTTATACAAATAAATACAAAAGTATATATATACACAAAATAAATTCATATATATGTATACATATTACGTGTGATACATGTATTATACATATGTAGCTTCTGGGCAAATAAAAATTTATAAAATAAAATAAATTGGAAAATTTCTGCTGACATTTGAGATTTTTTTTTTTTAATTTAGCTTTTCCTTTTTCTTAAATTTTATTTTGTTTATTTTTGAAGTTTTCTTGTACATTTTCTTTTTAAATTGCTGTAATTATAAGTTTTTCTTTCTCTCTCTCTTGTTTATTATACTCATATACATAATATACATATGTATATATAAATTTTTACTATAATTTTCCCTAAAAAATTTCAATTTTGTTCGGGTTAAAATTAACAATATTATCCTACTTAATACTATACGAGTATAATAAAGAATATATATAAATATACATAAAATATGTGGTATATTTATTGAATACATATATATATACGAGTATATATATACGTAATTAATGTACATATATATATTATTATTTAATCTTTATATATTTATATTTATATATATATATATATTTATATATATATATATATATATATATATATACATATTTATATAATATATATATATATATATATATATATATATACATATTTATATAATATATATATATATATATATATATATATATATATATATATATATATATTTATATATATATATTATTGAATATTATATATATATATATATATATATATATATATATATATTATTTATTGAATATTTATATATATATATATATATATATATATAAATATTCAATAAATATGTATATAATATTGAGAAAAAAATCCTAAAATTACTTTCTCTATTAATACTTTATGAACTACACATAATATATAACTTTATACTAGTACCAAAATATTAAGTGGATATACAATTTAGGTATATACAAAAAGAAAAATGAGAATAGAGAGAAAAAATCCAAAACAATTTCATAAATTATTGACCAATAAATTTCATAGTAATTTTCTCATCCTTTTCTCTATATTTTATCGATACTTTATATTCATTATATATTGAGTATATATATATATACTCAATATATAATGAATTAATAAACCAATATACGATATTGTATATAATATATAAGATAAAGAATTCATTTACAATATAATAAAAATGAAATTGAAGAAAATAATTTATTTTATTGCACAAAATATTGGTGGATATTTAATTTTGAGAATGACTAATAGCGATATATAAAAAAATACAAAGGATATTAAAGAAAAATTTAATCTTCACATATTCATACGAAAAAGTAATTATAATTTTAATCCTTGTATACAAATATTTTAATTATTTCATATTTATTTAAATATAAAAAATTAATTTCTTTTTTCTAATATTTCGTATTATTTGATGTTGTCGTCACAAATTTTAGAGGACATTAATTTTATTACACACATATACAAGTTTATATAGTTATAAATATAACATTACTATTATATTGCATTATTTTAATGTTTTGACAGTAATTTTAATTGGGAAAATGTTAAAATATATGAAATAAAATAAAATTTCATAAATAAACTCTTAAATAATAAAATACCAAATTTTTTTTTTGTTATTATTTAGAAACAATATTGACTTTTCGGTAAAGTTCAAAGGATTCAATCTTTTTGTAAAAAAATTAATTTAAGTGGAATGAATATGGGATAGGGAACAAATTTTAGGGAATAATTAATATTTTTATTAACAATTTTTCGTCTATACTTGCAATTTACTAAATATATGTAAATATGCGGTAGGATCTTACATTTTATTTTTATGAAATTATGAAACAAAAGACCTCTTTATTATTTAAAAAATTTTTTTAACACAAAAAATAACCAACTGCTCCACTTCAATTATTATAATATGAACGTTTATAGCAGGGCATTTCTTTACATTTTCTTTTTTGCATAAAAATCTAAAACAAAATTATTTTACGCGGAAACTATATGAAAATTATGATTACATACCTTTGTACATAAACTTTACAATTTTTGCAACATTTTATTCTCGAAAATAAAGTTCTGTTGCTTGTTCTTTAATTGCATTCAACTTAGGAATACAATGGCAATTATAGTAAGGATATAGGTAAACGCAAACACATTATATAAAATTAAAGGACTAAAAAAAGCATGAAAAAATTTAAATTTATCGGTGAAATTTTCTTTGAAGTTTTTTATTAAAGGACTTTTTTAAGGACTCTAAAAGTGTACACTCATAATTCATTAGTGAATTATTTTATATTTTATATAAGATTTTTCGAAACGGTATTCATATTAGGCATGAAAAGTAAAAAAATTGCAAGTTTGTTACAATTAAAATGTGGTCAATAATGAACTATAATGAACTTAAATTGAATAGAAATTTTATATAATTTAGATATGCAATATATATAGCATGTTGAAAGAGCAAATCGAATATGTTGTATAGAGAAAAAAACAGGTCAATAACATTATTTTGTTAAAACAATTGAATTCTGAATTTAAAATTTTATATAATTAATTAAAATATAAAAAAGTAAATACAACTTTTTAATAATTTTAAAATTGGTAATAAATAATTTACACCATAATTAACCACAAAACATGATAATCCTTTTATAAAAGCATAGTAAAAAAATTTATAAATTTTACCAAAAGAAAAATTCTGATTTTTATCAATTCCATTCAATGGAAAATGCAACAATATTTGTGGTACCAAGCGAATGCAATTATAATTTTTAAATATTTCCCTTACTTTTATACAACCTTTTAAATTTATTAGCAACTCATTAATTAAAAATTATTAAAATTATTAAGTTTACTATTTAATATTTTGGAGCAATACCATGACTATTACAGAATAAATTTCGGAAAATATAAAAAATATTAAAAATTTTTTAATAATAAGCGAGTAGAGAATATCTGGATGAAATTATATATAGAGCCATAATATTATGTTTTCGTATTCCAAGTTAAAATTAGCAGTTTATGTGAAATAGTTTCTTATAATTACTTGTAAATTTATTATCAGAAATTATTAAGTAATTACGTTTGTATTGCGATTACGAATATTTTAAATTAAAATTTCCTTCAATAAAATTTTAAAAAATTTTTTAAAAAAGTCACCCTTAA